GACAGTCAGAAAGTGCCCGAAAATTCACAGACAGGGCCTTCCGATGCGGGTAGGCAGTTTATGTAATATATGTATATCTTGGCAAGGCCCAACTCAGCTCTTCATTCCTAGACGGTAACATTTCCCATCATACTCATTTCCTTTTCTACGCTTGAGGGACGACTCCCACATTTCCATAACTGTTGGTACTGAAGTCACTCTACTCTCATTATATCAATTGAAATACTGCTTAATTTACTTCATCCAGTGATCTAACTACTCATTTTGAACTCCATCATTGTTGCATAATATTTGGTACATTCTAGTAACTTTAATGGCACACCTATCAAATGTGAACTCGACGTTGTCTTTCAGCATATTGCATACACCGTGCTCAGTAGCAAAACTGACAATTATCCTTCTATATGCAGAGGAAGTGTTTTGAGAATGAGGGCGATCACTTGACCTATACTGCATGGGGTTCAGCAAATATCGATTTCTGAAGATTCCATCTGAACGAATTTCCGATGCAGTTGGCTTGGGGCTGATTGGTGAGGTTTCATATAGTTGATTCTCTCAGTAGGGCGTTATCAACAACCCTGGTAACCTTTGGGTGAGTAGACAATGGGGTAATGGACGGTCACCGTCGTTCACTGACATGCATACTCTCGATTTTCATGAATCACAGTTAGTTCAAAGCTTCCTTTGCATCTAGCCATTCTGAATGGAAAATGTATGCTTAATTATCTTATTATTTTATGTATTGATCCAGCACGTTATCAGTGATTGATTATGTCAGTTTATCTGATCCAAGTTACTTTTCCTCAAATAAATGTGTAAACCACATCGTTGCATAGTTGAGTTTGATATGCAGTAGTGCAAGAAAGCAAAATCTCGGGCATTCGATGCATATAAGGGTTTCTATAAAATATATGCGTTTGAGCACAAATCGATTTACGTATTTCATTTGCAGTGAGTATCTTTCGTCTTGGTCTGATACCTAACTCATATTGGTTGCAACCGTCATTCTCCGATTTAATAATTCACCTGGTAACGAGTCCCGATTCCTCTTCGTGATCGGGAAGCTTGTCCGTTTTTCGACATGACTCCTCTTTGTTAGACAAAACGGTACAACTTGACCCTCTTCGTTCACGCCTCCACAGTGTGCCAACTAAAAGGAGTGAATCTAATGCGCATAACGTGAATACTAGAACGTATTCTGACTACCCCACCACTGGGAAGATGCATTTTATAGACAAGGAATAAACGGCATTTATCTTATTGTACTTGTTGTCTACCACGGTCGTAGCAATCCGATTCGAAACAGATTTTGTAGTTTTTTTAATATTTATATACGAGGGCTTTCGATTTTTATTTTATACTTGTTTACAGTGAACTAAATAAGTTGAGTTTGCTTTTACTGAATAGTTATTTGCGCTTCTATCAATGTCTCAGCCAAGGACTTCGGTTCGATGTTCCAAATGGATCTGCGTATAGTTCTCGACCGTCTTACGGAGGGTGTTGTGGAAGAGCCAACAGATTCCAGTGAGATGTCTGATAACCCTGGGAAACACAATGCCCCGTCTGCTCCAGCCCCAAATGATGGCCAGCCAAATCCTGCGGATGAGCAGCACATTGTGGACGCTTTGGCGACTGTGCCCTGCACCTATTCATCTGCCTCTAGACTGTTTCGTTTGGTCAGCTATGCAATAGAACAGGCGGAACAATTCTACACAATGGAGGACCGATGTTCGGATGCCGTGGAACTGGTACAAAGTCGCAGCAGAGCTTATCGTTTGTTGGCCGCGTTCGAACCAACTCGAACTCGTCAGGTAAACTGGTTTGCTTTTGCTCGACATTCATTTGTATAGGTTGCTGACAGACTTAATTACATCGTGTCGAATGCCGTGACTACTGTATTCATCAGACCATGACATGGGCTAGAGGCATGAAGAAGTTGGCTTCAGCTTTGGCTTCGGTTGATGCAGCCCGCCTTCCAGGTTGGGGCCCAAGGGATGAGGATTGTCTATGGTTAGAGACGCTGAGAGATATGGCGCAGAATAGAAGTCAGTGGC